ACACACACACACACACACACACACACACACACACACACACACACACACACACACACTAGTCTCCTTCCTGCCTCCCCCTGATTGGATAGTGGCTATTGTGACATCATCGCTTTTAGAGCTAAGCGCCACCTTCCTTCCTTTATGTGTTCCTGCAAATGTTTAATGGAAAGTAAATTAAATCACTAAATCACAAAAAACAGCTAAATATTAAATATTGGCATTTTAAATAAAAAAAAAATGAATGCAAAAGGTATTGTGCAGTTTCACTTTTTTCCTTATGTTTTGTTCTCCTTTTTGGGGGGAGGAAAGAATTCCTTTTGTTCTTTTTGCTTTAAAATAATAAAAAAGTGTCTCTTTGCTGCTTCTGACTCTGTGTATTGTTTATGGGTGTGTATTAAGGAACTTTCTGCCAAATGCAGTGTCAGCATTAATAAACATTTTATGTTTATTACAGAAAGTAACATGTGAATGCACTGGCAATACTGAAAGTGGAAAGAGTATTGATAAACGTAAAAGCATGAAACTCTTCTAAGTGTATAAAGAGCACGAATTACATTTGGTAATTTATCTAGTTAACAACGGAAAGTTAACCTCTTAACTGTCACCTCCCCTTTTTGAACATAGACTTGAAAGTGCACTATTCAAACTTAAATTGTTATAATTCATGAACGCTTTTGAATACAGACCTGAGGTTGGTCTCTTTTTAAAGAAGCCAATCAGCAGATTATTGCAAAAGTGTAATCATTTAAAAAAAAACAGTAAAAAAAAGTTATAGAAGTTTAAATTAACTGTAAAGAAAATGTACTGTGCTATTTTTGTTTTGTTTTATATAAAATAAATATTTTACAAAATAGGTTTTAATCCAAATTTGGCATAAAATTAAAGCCATATGTTTAAATAAGTTGTGTTCCAAATTTGAAGTTGATATAAAAAAAAAAATAGGTTACGATGCAGTTTTGTTTAGGTGTTATACCACAAACAACCACCAGGTGCCATCCAAACCCCATTTCAAATTTTTTATGCATTTTTCTGTCACAAATGTATAAATTTCTCTCAGTATTACTCCTTTCACAAAATGTGGACCACCAAATATGGAATTTTGAGATTTTGCGACTATATGTATTTTGTCAAGATTCTAAAAAGTTTTGATTCCAAAAGACCGTAATACATTTTGTAACATGACACCCTGCACTAAGGGGGAGGAGCCCAAGGTCCATTTCTATGGTAACGCGATGTCCCAAAACGGTTTTCACAGGATTAATTTTGAGATTTGAAGCTTTCAAATGATAATATATGATGATTACTAAATCATGTGATAGGAAAAAAAGGAAACGAATAGAATTTTTGTGACAAAGGTCAGAGCTCCTGTTATGGTGTAACGTATATGTTTTGAGGCGTACTCTTGTCATAAATTAATCTATTACTGCTCCTACATAATTTTTGAACAACAAACAGTGGTAAAATATCTATTTAGGAGTCTTAGACCTTTCCAACTATATATAGTTGGTCATGATTAGATTAGGATTTAATTGCAATATATTGAAGAAAATTTAGGCGTTCCGCTAGCGGGAAGGTGACAGTTAAGGGGCTATAAGCGTCGTGATGTTTCACTGCTGATAAGCTTTGGTAAGTAAATTAGTTCAGTGGCCAAAATCCTGTGGGTTTTATAAACGTGTAGCCTACATTGTACATAATGTACATTGATGGTACTGAGAAGCTAATACTTGTATTAATGTGCAAATGCTGACATCGATTATTTATTTTTATTAATTTATTTGCATATTACGTAATTGTGACCCTATTTATAAACTTAACTCTCAAATCTAACCTTATTTCAAGGATTTCCCAGAGTGAAGTGCATGTGAGAGGCGTTTTCTGCCCTACATTGGTTGTTTCTCTCCAAACAATTTTTGTTTGCTTTCTTCCGCTCTCATACCTCATTTCAGTTTCTTGTGCAGGTTCAGGTTTTTGTGTCGGCTGGTTTCCCGCACACGCTAGTTTTTACCAGTTGGACTAAATGCGCAGAACTTGCCTCAAACTTTGTCAACAAACATAAAACAGCATCCAAACGTGAGTATGAAAAGAAGAGCGTTCAGCTATAAAAAAAATACATAACCTGCATAAGCGAATGGTTTCTTAAATAAAAACATTGAAAATCCAGATTAAAAAAGATAAGCACCAGCAGAATGATTGATTTTTGCTGCTCGAGGTATTTAACAACCAAAAAAAGATAGAATTTCTTTGACACTCGATCTGAAGCCATGATAGCCTACTCATGTTTTATCTTTTCGTTAACTTTATTGTGTTTTCAATATTAAACATGTAGGCTAATCATATGTCTATCGACTGACTTGCATTTGTTTTTTTCAAATTTAAAATTGTTAAGAGTTGGAAGTAAACGACAAATACACATTTTTAGATTATAATAACCTATAATCACATGATTTTTGCAGGATTTATGAAAATGTGTCATCCTATCCTTTAATGACAATAATCTGTAATATTATTGCATATCCAAATAGAAATGTTCATTTGCACTACAAATACCAAGGGAATATTGCGTTTATTAGGCTAATATACATTAGAAGTACACATTTTCATTGTTTGTTTTTTAAGTATGTGTAGTCTGCAATCTGGAGGCATTCTATATTTTGCTGGTAGTTTGTTTAGCTTGAAAGTCATTTTAATTTTTCATTTATCTCGGATTATTCGAATTTAATCAGTTTAAATTATGAATATTTCTAGACCAGACGAAACGAATGAAAACGAAACAAAATGACTTAAGTGAGTTGCGTTTGTGGCTCATAGCCACATATGCTTTTTCCTGTTTGCTCTTTTTTCTTTGTAAAAGCATGAGCCTCTTTTTATGAACAAAAATAAACTAGTTAGGGTTTTCTCACCGAAAAGAAATCTTAATATAACTCCAGGCTTTTTATTTAAAAAGAAACTCATTTTCACTGACTATATTTTTTTAGAAAAAGGAACAGAATGGCAAAGGTATCAGTTCTCCTTTCAATCCATTTGAATATGAAATTTTGTGAGTAGTCACTGTAATTGATTTTTATTTTAAAGGTCCTTCCCATATTGCGTTAAAAGCAAGTGCTTCTGGAGACATTTTGAAGGTTCCTAGACTGGAGACAAGAGACTCTGGAAACTATTTCTGTAGGCAGTCAGGGAAAGAACACATTGTGCATGTTGTGTCAGGTGAGAGACGAAAGTAGTGCTTGTAATTTTTTTTATGTTTGTACTTATTTATTTTTATAATTATTGTATTTTTCATATTTACTCCCATTTCTCTTTCAGTCTTTGTTAAACCAGGCCCAGTGCTGGTGCAGTCTAGTGATGCAGAGCTGCACTGTGACATTACAGGAGACCCAAACAAGGAAGTACAGTGGCTGAGACCTAATGGTCAAAAATATAATGAAAAAAATCGAGTAATTCACCTGAAGTCTGTGACTTCAAATGAAGCAGGCCAGTGGACGTGTCTAGTCAAGGATGACTTGAAGCTCAGTGTAACATTGACTGTTGTTGGTTGGTGCCCCTCAGTAGTTGTTATTCAGAATGAGTGTTTTTTATTACTATAATGCTTCACATTTCATGCTGTCAGTGACATTTGTCTGGTTCTCCAACAGGTCTCCAGACCACAGCTGTTAATGCTTCTAAAGGGGATGACATAGAGCTGCCCTGTTCTCTTCCTCAGAGTGTATTTCAGCATGTTGTAGGTGGGACATGGAAGGCTGACCACCTTCCCAAAGTCCCTTTCCCAACCCTGACGAACACACCAAGCAAAGGCTTACACTGGAATTGCGAGGATTTATCAAAAGTCAACTTTACTACTGGGCAACTCAGCACCAACTTTGATGTCACGTTGAAAAATGTGAATACTTTACACTGTTTTTAATAATCTAGAGAATGCTTTTCCTGTGTAAAGAGCTATTTGTGCAACTGAAAAGTTTCCATGGATGTTAAAGGTTCTTCATGGAATAATCCATACCAAAAAAATAATCATTTTTTTGTATGTTGACAGTAATTTCCCCTCATATTCTCTCAGGTGCAGAGCAGTGATGAAGGAACGTTTGTGTGTATAGTGGAGTTTGAGGGTGGAGTGCGTCTAAGTGTCGAGACGACTTTGAGGGTTGTGGACAAACCTTCAGGTAAAACAAAACAACACTGCACAGCTTAACAGAATCATTCATTCACTTTATTTATAGAACACTTTACAACTGCACCTGCAGACCAAAGTGCTGTACAATCAAGAAACACTTCATTAAAACTGTTTTTGAGAAACAGAACTTAAAACAACACACATCCTACTAACAACAAAGACTACCCCACCCTCTCAAAGGTTAAAGACAAGAAGTAGTTTTTGACTTCAACTTTAAAAGCATTTAAAGATGAGACCTCTCTAAGTTCCTGAGGAAGACTATTCCAGAGTTTCGGCCCCGAGAATCAGTCTTGGGATGCACACTTTTTATCAGAACCTTATCATTTACTGGCAGATGTTAGATATTAGTCAGTACTGTATATATACATATTGATATTGGACATTTCGCCGCTTTGGAATTATAAGGTTCTATCTGCATTCTGAGTGATTTTGAGATATTGAGCTTCAAAGATTTTGCATTCCATATAGCAAAAGTGATATGGGGAACAAGTCTCTTTCATACATGAAAATGACAGAGACCCTAAATGGATTCTAAATGTACAATATCAAAATCCTCTCAAATTTGTAAACATTGTGACAAATGTGATGCTATTTAATTAATTAAGTTGACGAATCACAGCATTCTAAATTGCACACACAGCTGTATATAAAGGCAAGACTAGAAAGTTGCAGACCATTAAAATGGATTCAAAAAGAAAACCAAACTGGTCCAAAAATCTTCTAGTGCAGTCAGTCATTAAATGGAAGGCGGTAATAAGAGGAAAATTCAGCAGGGGATTGTGAGAATAGGTGGAAATATTTTGGCAACAGCACGCAAAGGAAATTGCAGCATACAAAGAAATCATGCGAGCCACTGGTACATTTTTTAGGCTTATTAAACCCATTTTTATATTAAATGACTGTTTCCATGTGGTCAGCAGCTGAGTTCTTGTCAAATAGGTGGAGGCCTTCCATGTAATCCTCAGTCTGAGATCGCTAAGATAGTAGAGGAGATACTGGGAATGGCCATTCCTTCCATATGTGGCATTGCAGATGCTCCAGACCCTGCACTGATCAAATTGAAGGAGTTAAAGAGATGGTAAGAAGAAAATTATACATTTAATGTGTTCACCTTTTTTTTTATAACTTGACATTAGTTAATTAATCTACACTCTCAGAAAAAAAGGTACAAAAGCTGTCACTTGGGCGGTACCTTTTCAAAAGGCACACCTTTGTACCTAAACAGTCCATATTGGTACCTTAAAGGTACATATAAGTACCTAAAGTGTACATATTAGTACCTAAAAGGTACAAAAGTGTACCTTTTGAAAAGGTACCGCCCCAGTGACAGCTTTTGTACCTTTTTTTCTGAGAGTGTATGGACATGGAAAAAAATACACATCGGATTCAATAAACATGTTTGCACTCTTTAATATTTTCTGCATGTGAATGTAGTGTGGATGATGCTGGAGCCAGTCCATCTGACGCATCTTCTCCTGTATCATCTCAGGACATCTCCCCGGGTCCTCCAGATAAGCCTTCTCCCTCACAAGACACAGGGTTTGCAGAGAGTGTAGACCCTGAGGACGACATTGAGTCTCTTGAAAGCAAAAAGCTTAATTTGCAAATAAAGTTGCTGGAAAATCAAAATGAATATTATGCACTCAAACTGAAAAAATTAAAGAACAGTCAATGATTGTCAGTGTTGTGGAGTAACTATTTACATGTAACGGAATTACGTAATTTAATTACGTATTTTTGTTTATGTATATGCTTTCTTTTTTTAAGATGAACTGTTAGATGCCTGTGTTTCCTGTCATAGCTATGCAAAGATTTGATTTCAATCAACAATATCATATCTTTTAAAATACTTCTTGTCATGGTTTTAAATCTGTATTTAACCTCAGAATGATCTCAAAATAAAAAGGTGCTAAAGTCTGATTTTGTGAAAATAAATTATTATAAAAAAATAATTCTTATAATCCTAATTTAAATGATGAAGAATTCTGAAAGTCTGACAGTAATGAGTGTTGAGTACTACTGTAAGGTTAACCCTGCCTGCTTTAAATGTTTGAAAATGATTATCAGTTGAAAACATTCGTTAGAAATTTAGAAAAGTAATCAAAAAGTAATCAGTTACATTACTTTAATAAAGTAATTGAAATATTACATTTTAAATAGGGTAACTTGAAATCTGTAACCTGTTACATTACCAAAATCACCTTTCGAACACTGATGATTGTACATGTTTTTGCAAATAAAATGGACCCCATTGGACCCCAAACGTACAAAAAAGTAAATTTTTTATATTTAAAGAATTTGCCACTGACGATTCAAACGTGAGTTTTGAGCAGTGTAGAGTAGCGCTTATTGTTTGTCATTTCTCCGATCACAAATGCAGCCATGATTTTATGTTTACTCGGCGCGATGCAACGCAACGCGTAAAAAGACAGTACAAGTCATTATAATCAGTAATTATTTCCCCACTGGATGCAACAAATGCCTCGTTTGTAATGGGTTTTATTGGTTTTGTCTCGTCGCGCCGGGATACAGCATCACAATATGGTAAGGGGAATAACATTTCTGTCACACGCTTGAGGTATTCGGCCAATCACAACGCACTGGATAGCTGGCCAATCAGTGTACACCTCGCTTTTCAGAGCGATGAGCTTTGTAAAAATCGACGCGTTTCAGAAAGGCAGGGCATAGAGGAGAAACAATAATGTACAGTATGTGGAAAATAATGTGTTTTTTGAACCTTAAACCACATAAACACATTCATTACACCAAATACACAAAATAATGTTCTTTTTCAGCAACGTCATATGACCCCTTTAAGGCCCTGCTGACTGTGGACTGTGATGGGCCCAAATCAACACTGGTGCATTGCTGCATTTTTCCAGTAGCCAAAAAACGCAGAGTCATTATGACTTTTTATTTCTGTAGATAAAGCATTGTTTTGTAGTGTGGGAGGTTATAGAATTTCAGTGACAAAAATAATGCTTTGATGATTTTATCAACTCCCTGTCCGTATGGGAAGGGGTACCAGTTTGCCTTGAGGTAGGTGACGGGGAGATTTGGTGATGGCGCAGACTGAGCATCCTTGGACAAAGCGCCGGACTTCTCGTGCCATAGCAGGCCACCAATAGCGGGATTCGAGGAGCGAGAGAGTTTGCTGGCTGCCTGGGTGTCCAGAGCCCGGAGAGGAATGCAGCGAGTCCAGAAGAGAGCTTGATGGCGAGAAGCTTGCGGTTTCCGATGTCATAATTCTGCTCCGCCGGGGAAAGCTTGCGGGAGAAGTATGCACAGGGATGGAGGCTGGGAGACTCTCCAGACTGCTGGGAGAGCATCGCTCCTACTCCTACGGTGGACGCGTCTACTTCCACGACAAATGGTTTCTGAGGATCGGGCAACGCGAGGGTAGGAGCGGTGCAGAAGGCTTCCTTCAATTCTTCAAAGCTCTGGAGGGCAGTGGGCGTCCAGGACAGAGACTTGGGCTTATTACTGAGCATAGACGTGAGGGCGGCTGTGTGCTGACTGAAATGGTGGATGAAACGGCGGTAGAAATTTGAGAATCCTAGAAAGCGTTGGAGTTCCTTAACGGTCTTGGGTTGTGGCCAGTGGTGAATGGCTTGGACTTTTTTGTCATCCATCTGGATGCCCTGAGGGCTGATGACATAGCCGAGGAACTTGACGGTGGTAAGGTGGAACTCGCACTTCTCCAGCTTGAGATAGAGGTGGTATTTTCTCAGTTGTTGAAGGACCTGCTCCACGTGGTGGCGATGTTCGGCCAGGTTCCGGGAGTAAATCAAGATGTTGTCGATATACACGATCACAGAATGATGGAGGAACTCCCGGAACACCTCGTTCATGAATCCCTGGAAGATGGAAGGTGAGTTGGATAGGCCATACAGCATAACGCAGTATTCATAGTGTCCGGTGGGCGTGATGAAGGCAGTCTTCCACTCGTCCCCAGGGCGGATACGAACGAGGTTATAGGCGCTTCGCAGGTCCAGCTTGGAGAAGATACGAGCTCCACGAAGTTCCTCGAGGGCGGCCGGCACCAGTGGAAGGGGATATGGATACTTGACGGTTTGTGAGTTGAGGGTCCGGTAGTCAATACAAGGCCGCAAGCCTCCGTCCTTCTTGCCCACAAAGAAGAAACTTGAAGCGGCCGGTGAGGTGGAGGGCCGGATGAAGCCTTGCTGGAGAGCCTCCTTAATATACTCCTCCATTGCTCCTTGCTCCGGGATGGACAAAGGGTACACCCTACCCTTAGGGAGTTGAGCTCCAGGCAGCAAATCTATGGCACAGTCCCACGCCGATGAGGTGGTAGTTTCGTCGCGGCCCGCTTACTAAACACATCCTGGAACGCCCAGTATTCCCAGGGAATGCTGTGTGGTTCCGTGGGTTCAGGGCTCTCGATGGAGGTGGCACAGACAGGGAGGAAACCAGGTGAAACAAAGTAGTTTCACTTTCACAACGAAACACAGTGTCACACACGGCGGCCTGGAGTGAGCAGAGGCCGAGGGTTAGAGTGAGCGGCGGCCGGTGGGCATGAGAACGGCGCGACGGGCTTGCGGCAACCACATGTGACGACCCCGGGCTGGACTCCGCTTCGTCCACGGTGAAAGCCGATCCGGCGATCCACAGCGCGAAGTTTATGTATTTCCTCAGCGACCAGCACGGATCAGCTCCAGGCATGACGAAACGGATATTGTCCTCTTTTGGAAGGCCAAACAAAGTAGTTTCGCTTTCACAACGAAACACACAGAACACAAACACACAGCGCCTTCACGACATGGTGGCGGTGGCAACAACAATACTACAGCAAGAATAAAAGTTATGCCTTCTTTCTTTGCGTGAACATTTGGGCGGCGTTATGCAAATCTTCCCACATCATGACATAGACATGTGGGGGTGTGTTAGAACGAGCCGTTTTAGGTAGGTGTGGCTGACTCTTAAATTTTATAAAGAATATCTCTTTGGATTTGAGACTTTAGTCTTTGCAACTTTACAGACCTTCTTTATGCACCAAGAGCTTGTAACACTTCAAAGAGAAAGGAAAACTTGAAATCGCATCATATGACCCCTTTAAGAAATTTAGCAGTTGAGACCTAGGGCCTCAATTTATAAAATGTTGCGCAGAAACCACGGAAAACACATGTACGCCTCTCTTTCAGATGTAAAATCTATCACAAATGATCTTGAACTTGTGCGTAACTGAATGGTTTCAGCTCTCTGCCTTCTAAACGACTCCTAATTAATGTCATTAACATATAGCCTAAAAGATCACTAGTCATCGTCCAAATCCTTTAATTTAGAACAGCCAGCTGCAAGAACAGCTTACGTTTCCAAAAACCTGCAGTAGGCCTACTCCGACAAGAAAAAGTGAGTACGATACTGTATGCTCAGACCCTGACATGACGCTAAGCACTTTATTAAGTTAAAGGCAGTTTTTACATGAGCGTTGGCATGGATTTAAGCGTACACACACTCCAAGATCAAATCTGTGCGTACACACACTTTATAACTGTATTTGTAGAATAATGTTCTCGAGCGAGCCGTGGACTGGATCTTCTCTCATCTGGATGATCTGGAGTCCATGGATGTGTCTGAGGGTGGGCGCTCAGAGGGAGGAAGTGAAGCCAGTCGGGAACCTCCTCCAGGGCCGCGTGTCCGTGATGGACCAGGAAGTATGTGTTTCTGTGGTATTTATTAAATTGTGATTTTTGTAAACAGGATCATGAATATTTTGCTCTCTTCTCATCTTTCCCATTCTTTTGTCCTGAAGAGTACGAGCTTTTTGCGTTCATCAGTCACATGGAAACGAGCACAATGTGTGGTCATTATGTCTGCCACATAAAGAAGGACCAACAGTGAGTGAAGTTCTTTCTCCATCTCTCTCTATCATTGTTCATATGCAGCTCTTGCACAGCAGTATCATTTTTCTCAGTATTAATGTTTTCATTGTTACTCTTTGCTTCTTTGGTAATCTTTAATGATCGAAAAGTTTGTGCCTCTGAGAAACCACCTATAAGGACCTGGGCTACCGGTATACTTTTACTGAAGAGTGGTGGAATAGAGTAAACTAGAATAGCATTTTCCTCTCTCTCTCTCTCTCTCTCTCTCTCACACACACACACACACATACACACTCATCTGTGTCTGATCTACTGAAACAGTAGGCCCAGGCTCCTGCTTCTAAACTGATGCACCATTTAATAAGTCAAAGCACTTCTCCATCAAATATATTCACTACTAAGAGAACCCAGACGTAATAATGACAGAAGGAAAAAAATGAGATGTAAGATGTGAGGATTAGAGTGTTCTTACTCAAAACGTCCATGTTGTAGGCTACAACACCTTACCACCACTAATCTATATATTATAGATCAGTGCTTAGTTTCCACACACACACACACACACACACA